GCTGAAAAGAATCGATTTTCTTTATTTAATAATTCTTATGGATATTATAGCCGTCTGTATGAGTGATCAGTGTTCTTTTTTTGCTAGAAACGCATTTTTATTTTTTGTTTAGTTTTCGTTTGTGACGAATATGTGCGTGACATCATGAATAATGGAGAGCAAAGTCGGTGCTTATACGTATGCCCAAAGATGGGCATATATGAAAAATCAGTGATTTYWTTTTGTTTGAATAAAGTTWTTGCAAAATCAGTTAGATAATTCGACAAAAATACACATGATAATGGCTATGCCGGCTATATATACCRGAGTTTCAGCTCGCTTTGCAGTGAAGATTCAGAGAGCCAAACAATCAAGTGACAAGGCGTTCAAACCAAAACTTACTAACTCGTCGTGCAAAGAGCTACCAACATGGTCAAGTCAAACATAAAATGCGATGATTCCGTCCAGCCTACATTTTTCAAAATGACCAAAGGGAAAAAGGAATACAGGTACATCATCTTCAAAATTGAGAACAACCAAGTTGTCGTCGATAAAACTGGAGATCGTGACAAAACTTTCCAAGACATGATAAATGATCTTCCCGCCGAGGATGCTGCTCGATATGTCGTCTTCGACCTAACYTATCACACAAAAAGGGAGAATCATCTTCGAGAGAAGATCGTCTTTCTGAGTTATTGCCCAAGCGGTACTGAAACAAGAGAGAAAATGCTCCATGGAAGCACAGCTCTAGAGCTGAAGGAAAAGCTTGGAAGTTCKTTCATCCACTTGTCGAAGCAATGTGATGATCTTGGTGACATGAACGAGGAAGAAATCAAGGAAGAAATGGCCATCAAAGGGTAGACTTTGTATAAATGTGTGCATGCATGTGAGTTTGCAATGTAATGAACACTTTGTTGCAATAGAGCATTACAGTAGAAAGAACATTTTCAAATGATTACCACAAAAACTTAGTAGTTTGTATATTATCCATGAACTATATATTGTGATCCATCGCCTATCGATTTTGTGTTAGAAATTTTTAATAATACTTTATGATAACGTGTATATGATTAAGTTAAGCATTCATGGTTTTTCATAGTATCTTAGCTTTATTGTTGTATTTAGGATTTATATTTCGCACAATTTAGACAACTTTTGATAATAAATGTAACGTTGTGTTATAACATCTTTTTCTGATTTAATGACAAGGCTTATAACCGCTATATCATATCCTCAGATTTTACTATCATTCACTAGAAATTTCACAAATGTAGCTATTAGTAAGCTTGTATTTTCTGTAATCAGTGTATGTCTTTATAAACAATAAACCCAGACGTTTCTAAATGTCAACATACTTTTATTATTCTTTTATGGGACTCATTTTTCCGACTTAGTTTAAGAGAGAATATTCCGTGCAGTTAATATTTCAAAGAAATGTCTACTTTTTGAACAGAAATTAAAAACGCTTATTCTAAGCGAAACAAAGAAGTTGTCGCACAGCTTTGAACGTCGCCAAGGCAACGCAATTAAAGGAAAGTCACGCTAGCTACATTTCGTCACGTTATTATGTTTTGAGCAAAGCATTAGAACATTTCTTCATATTAAAACATTTATCAGTTAAAATAAATCAGTTACATGACTATATTCCAAATCTCATTCCGCATATATGATTTTCTGAATGAAATTCGTTCCTTTTAAGTGATGATTGAAGTAAGAGCGTGACATTACATGATGAAAGTCACCACAGGTTGACCAAATATAGATACAAGATATGTCTGTTTGAATAATCTTTCATGAATGCCTTATGAATATTGGCACTACTGAATAATGGAAAGTATACTTCATCTCTAAATAGAGTTCTAAATAAAGCGATATGAAAGACATCAACAGAGTGATATGCAGATATCTATTGTTTGATTGTTTTTTGTTTTTTTTTTTTTTTTTTTTTTTTTTTTTTTTTTTTTTTTTTTTTTTTTTGATTGTTTGTTTGTTTTGTTTTTGCATGATTATTCATGCACCTTAAGTTACAAAACTTTATCATGATTTTAATAACTTTCCAGGTGTGATCTGTTTAAAGGGACACTGTCAATGGATGACATGCGCAGTAACAGTCTCACCTCTAACGGACTTTGAAAGTATTACCTTCGAGGTAAATCATTTTGTGTTGCTTTTGACGCACTTTGGAATATTCTAGATCTGTTTACGTTTACGAGCTGATTTATGTCGCGCCAACTTGGAGTCATAAACTTGAAAACACTAGCCTAGTGTTTTCAAGTTTACTCGCGCATGCGTTCCTTTAAGTTTATAAAATCCGGCAAAACACATTGAAAAACCATTATGACGACTTTGTTGTTGTCTACTTGATCTTAACTGAACAACGTTACAATGTAAGAGACTGTACATATAAAGAGACAAAGTAAAAGCAGTTGAAGGAGATTTTTATTCATAATCAGCAATCACTTTGTATGTTCAATTAATTATCAAAATCATTTGGTAAATCTACATAAATCATGTTAATACTTTATAAAAAAGACAGTTATTTTCTATGAGATTTTCTGTGCTGTCCATTACAGGAAGATATCGCCTAGTTATGTTTAATAATTACAATTGAAAGCTGAAACTCATACGCAAGAAATTGATTTGGAGCCAAAAGCATACTTACAGTCAATCCATTAACGTTATTCAATTGTAAAGACGTAAAAAATGCAACTGAAAGTCATTTGCATACATCAAATTCAGTGTTTTCTTTGTTTGCGAGAATATTCGACTTCAAGACTTAATGACAATGTCTATAACATTAAACTACACGCATGATCTGGAGTTTTGAATCAAAATCCTTCGCGGGGATTGAAAAAACATTTTATGCAAATGGTTTGTTGTTGTCTTTATGTCTTTACAATTAAACAATGTTGATGCGATTAACTGTACACTGGAATTTCAGAAAATATTGAATGCTGTAAGTGCAACCCAGGACCGCAATGTATTATATTGCTATTAAAGTTCGCGTTCGCTTAGTTACWATATGATAAAGTTATTTAATTAATAGTTATTAGTTATTAGTTAATTTTATTACTTTCCATTGACTATACAAACGAGCTATCATCGCCACTCTGAAACCATGAAAACTGCTTTTGAACGGCAACAGAAAAACAACCAATGCATTGCGGTCTTGGTAAGCAATATCTTCAACTTTCAATGTTTTTGAAATAGCTGTAWATAGCGAAAATAATAATGTTATTGATTTCAATGAAATTGCATATACACAATATTGCCATTCTGTTGACATTGGTCGTTGCTGTGGCTCAATGTTGGCTATCTGCATGGCAGGTCTACTTCTTATCTGGCTTCTGTAGCATTGAATTATATCCAAGTCATACAATGCATCATTTGAAGGGGTGTATACCCAAATTTGCCTCAATATCTGTTACGTCCATTTTTGAAAAGCAGTGGGCTTTCTGTTTTTACAGCAATACATGATTCGCGAGCATGCATACCCATTTCTTGCCTTTTTGCCAATGTTGGTGTTTTCATGAGAAAATTTCTCATGGGTGTCTTTTTTTCCAACGTCATGGTCAACATTCTTTTGTATTTTGAACTGAAAGGGATTGAGTAAATACCAGCAATAGCAGACGTCATCACCACCTTAGATGTTTTGGCCTCCATTAAGAACTAGTGATTGTACACCTTTGTGAAGACAACCAGCTTTGGCAAAACGTTTGACCACTCTGTATCCATTCTTAAAGTATCTCATCTCCTTAGATGTTTTGGCCTCCATTAAGAACTAGTGATTGTACACCTTTGTGAAGACAACCAGCTTTGGCAAAACGTTTGACCACTCTGTATCCATTCTTAAAGTATCTCATCTCCACCAATTACCAAGTGTATGATGGGACATGAATAGCAAGCACACGTTTTTCTACTTCGGCGCCTGCGCACAATATGTCCTGGTCAGCTAATGCTGTTGTCGAAGAGAAGATGAAACTTGAATCTCAGCTTATATCAAAAGAAGAAAGAGGTCAATCTTACATATATCGTATAGTTCTAAAGTAGTTATTTCTTTGAGGGTATGCAGTAAACTTTGTCATCATGCACCATGCAAAACCATTCACAATTTTCCAATATTTGGTATGTTTAAAACGGCTGAGTWCTGAATCAGATCGGAATACAGAATCGAAATATTTTCAGGTCTTTGTCTTCCATTTTATTAAAAAAACACGAGAATAAAGTTTATGACTTTCAATCCGTATTGTCCGAGCTACCATCCTCAGTATCCTCTTCTTCTTCCTCCTCCTCTTCTTTTCCCTTCTTGTCCTCGTCCCCTACATCTGGTCCACTGCCATAGAAGGTAAGTCTCCATTCTAACATAACACCAGAGCTGAGATGACCGCTTTCTGGGTTCAAACCAGGAACGAATTCTTCCTGGAAACCATTATTAACTTGAACACGCTGAGAACCAGTTTCCTCTGCTGTTACTTGAACTTTCTGACGTTGAGTCTTTGGAGATACATTTTCATTTCCGAATGRCATCGCTGATTCCTCAAGATTGTTTGGTTTGTTTTCGTCGTATGCGAACCTGTCATATCCATAAATTTGGTTRTCATTGATGTCGCTAGATGCTGCGATATTGTCTCTTGCGACACCTRCCGCGTCTGACATCGGGTCTCTGTTTTCGATGTTGCTGTAGGAGTCGTATGGGTAAAGCGGTGCGTATGGAGATCCTTCATTTCCTGTTAAACCTGCAGTCATTTGTTCTGATATCGATGGATCAAGCATTGAGCCTTGATACGACGGTACATAGTATGCTTGATAGCCTGCAGATAAAATAGAATTAAGACCATGCGCAATCATTCTACCGACCTTCTTCAATCAGTCGATCTTGATTTTTTAATACTGAAACTTTTAAAAATAAACATGCTYTGTGCGACAACTCAAACGGATCAACCAAGAAAATCAGCAGTCAAAAACACTGTTTAATTAGTTTGCTATTTAAGAAGTTTGCATGGTCAGTTTGAATTTAAACTTGGCTYACAGCAATACTAATCCCTATCATCATCATTCATTGTTGTATGCTTTCTAATCTTACCCAACATTTTATCAGTTAATTCTATGGTTCCATTGCGATGTCGATCAGTAAACCATTTTCTTGTCACGTGACGTGGCACGTGATTTTTCTTGACGCCATCCGGATAGGGGCTATCGCCACCAGGCATCTTCGGTTTTCCAAGTTTCTTGGCTTCAAGTTCTTGAGTCTTTTTCTCATCGTCGATTACCTTGAAATAATATGAAATATTATATGAAACAATATGACATTAAATCATTTCTCGAAACATTAGAGTTTAAAGTAATAGTTAAGAATGAGCTTTACAGTGGCTGCTACCGTTGCGCGCATCCACATCCGTTGGGTCCTCTTGATTTTTCAGCAAGAATGTGTTAATATTTAGATACGTGTGTCAATGAGGAAGTAATACAGCTCAAGGACGTGAAGGACATTCCAGAGATTCGAATTCCGTTTATTGAATTTTTGTACATTTAAAAAAATAGGGTTGTTCTAAAGTATGGTTGTGACTTCTCTCAGTGACTAGCTAACTCGTGCGCACTTAGGTTGGAGCTCACCATGTATTTTCTCTCAYCATGCATTAGTGGAAGCAAATTAAATGTTTAAAACTACCAATTACCTCTTCTTCTAAGTCTTCAACATCGGCCTCTTGCTTACTGGTATCATGCTGTACATAGCCATTTGGATCAACTCCCTTATTAAGCTGAGGCAGATTGTCTGTAAAGTTAAGCATCCACTCSCCTTTGGGGTTCTCGCCCCAGTTGTGCACCGTCATGAATGTCCAGTCATGTAAACCGTTCTTGGAATCATCATARCGTCGAGTCGAGAGCATYTCATTTCTAGTGCCACTCGGTGAGAAAAGATCGATACTGACGTCGCCACGTCGGCGGTGCTGGAAACTGACTGTCAAGGTCACGTGCTCAAGCTTGTCAATCATATGGTCTGTGCCACTGCATGCGATGGTGTCTATTGTGATGGATAGYGTTCCACCAGTTGGTACCTCTCTTGAATAGAAAATAGACAAAAGAAATCGGTTTTCGCTCAATCAACAAAAGATATGTCATTGAATCAGCTTTTTATTTGATTAGTTTTTTTTTACAGCGAAAATCGTTGCATCGCGACTTCTTTGTTTTGAGGTCTGTCTGGATTTTGTTCTTTCTTTCGATCTAAGGGGCGGAGCTTTTCGAAAACTCGTTCAATCATTGGCTGTTTTGTATCAAGCTCCGCCCTCAAGTCGCAGAAAAACCTAAATCCAAACGAWTTCCTTTGAACATTGAAGTCGCGATRCAACRGTTTYTGCTGTAAATTAATTTAATCTGAAACTATTTRGATTTTTTCCTCTCATAAAATTGCTGGAAAAAAGCTGTAATATCATGAATTGCCTTTAGGTTATCAACAGGCTAGACAAAAACTGTATTCCAGCAACGAAAGTAGAAAGAGCTTTCGTTCGATCATATTCTTCTCTACATCAGATRGACAATTCACAACAAGTTTTATCAAGCTTACTGTTCTGTGTTGCTTGATGGTCCGCGGCAAATCCTTTGTGGCTTTAGGTTTTTCCAAATCTTGGCCTTTTGAACCATTGCGTCTGCGTCCAACCTATTCATGAATGATTTGTTTAATATCCATGAATTGTAAATAAACAATTCAAAGATYTCGCGCCATTACTAATAATTATTCAGTGGGAAAATAAAAGAAAACAGACTAACAAGCTTACCTTCCAAATCCAAATTTATGGTTAAAGTGGTATCCTGCACCATTTTTCATCCAGCCTTCGTCTACAGGGCTTGTTACCTGTGCAGTCTCGACAACAATGTGCTGCACATCTCTCCAAGTCAGATTTGGGCTGCAAAAAGAAAAATGATTAACCAGTGTAAGAAGAATCCTCTCCACACAGGCACGAAAAGTTGCTTCATGCATCTCCAGTGTTCTGGTCATCCACAAATTATTTAAAACATAACTCGAGAAAGCACAGCAAGCAATTAGATCTTTGTTTATGTTATGTAATATACAGTACGCAGAACGTTTTCACGATTTCATCGTCTTCGTTAACCAAAAACAAAGCGTGCGTTAGATAAGGGTTGTTGAGCCTGCTGACTTACTTTGCTTCCAGTACCAATGCAAACATGCCAGCAGCTAATGGTGCTGCTGAAGATGTCCCTTTGAACTCCTCTGTGCATTTATGATGTAAGTCAGTTGTGACCTAAATATGGTATAAACATTGATATATTTTAGGTTACAGTGTATGTTTTTGCCGTGAATAATCTTCTATTATGCATTAACGTCTCAGCATAAGTTATTTTGCTTCCGCACATGTGTAATCCGTTCTATCATCTTCATTGCAACGAATATTATTAACATCGCTTCTATTCAGTGTCCATTCGAACTCCTCTACACAATTCTGTCATAACATTGCTGTATGCGAAATTTTTAATAGCTATCTATCAATCTCTTCCTTACCATTTTGTTCTCCTCCCGTTCTCGATGAGATCCGCCATTGAACGTAACGCCGAGTGTGGATGAGCATAGCTCAGTGTAATAWGCCGACAAGCCATGATCACCGATACAGCCAATGGATATCGTGTAGATGCTTGTCGTATAACCATCACAATTACAGTCGTCATCTGTGAGTCCACCATTACCAGTCGCCCAGACATAGATGTTACCTTTGCCACCACGACCCTGTCGATAACATGAATATTTCAGATCATTCTTTATGGGTCATATTTAAAGTCGTCATAAAAGCAAATATCTCTKTAAATATCACGATCTCCTTTTATGTTAGACAAAGCCCTGTGCTTATTCGTAACATAGAAACTCCTCCATGACATGTTTGATTTACCTTCAATGCACCCTGCATCAATGCTTCTTGCGCTAGTTTGCCAGGCTTACCAAATGTCTTCCCATCATCCTTTGGCCCCCAGCAATTACTATAGATATCGATGTAGGCAGATTGGAAGCTTAGTGAACTGCCTTCAAGAACATCTGTGGCTTGGCCATCAAGCATGCGCACACCTTCCAAATGTAAAGAAAAAGAAAGTGGCGTCACAAAAGTCCTTTGTTCTTGTTTATGTGTGTCATAAGTTTATACGGCCATTCATAACGTTAAAAMTATATGAATTGTTTCTAAAAGCAGTATGGAAGTTCGTTTCACCTCCWATATTAGCGTTGTATGCAACACCCACTCCACATACGTCGTTCCGTGCTGCGGCAACCTCACCAGCGCATCGAGTACCATGACTAACAGAAGAAACAAATTATTAAAGTCATCCCCTTACAAAGGGTGCATTTATAATTAGAAAAGGGCTCTATCTTAATTCCATACCAGTTGTCTGGATCTGTGTCACGAGGCTTGGGATCAGCGTCCATGTCGTTAAAATCGTAACTTGCTTTTTGATCCTGATGTACATAAATCATTCAGTGTCATTCTCAACCAATGGAGTAGTAATAGATATTTAGGCAGACAATTGAAAAAAAAAAACTAAGGACTTTTAAGTATATCTTACAAAGTTATCCCTTAGATCAGGATGAGTGTGGTCGACTCCGTCATCAAGTATGCTGACCACAACACCCCGTCCAGTGATGTTCTGGTTCCAACATGGCATCACATCGATGTCAACGCCTGCTGGTCCTGTTGACTGACCATCGTTCATCTGAAATTTTAGAGGGGTTATTAAGTCGTTAATCAGTTTGGATAAAAACGAATTCAAATCGTAAGTAAGTGCAGCTTGATCTTCAAGAAGGCTGTGAGGGGAAAGGGGTCCCGTAGCATTGAAGTGAAGATCAAAATACCAGAAACTCAACTGCCTTATACTCTCTTTTGATTCGACTAGTGTAATCACTTCCTTTTGAATCACTGGCGCTGTACTGTGTGGAGAGATACGGGGATTTGACTTTTGGTAAACTTTTTGTGGCATGTAGTGAGCAAAGTGTCTTATGTGATATAATAAGTTTATAATACGAATTTAATCCGAATACTGAATTTTCGCTGCAATGATAAAGATATTCAGAAGAAATGATAAGGAATTATTATACGCAGAATCTATTAAATGGTGCTTGTAAAATAATATTCCACGGCAACATTYTATATACTTAACGTAACCTGGACAAGGAGTGTTCAACGAAGTGGTTCTTGTCTATATAAAGAACCATGAAGCGTAAATGCAATGCCTGAGAATCAAGCCCAGGGCTATCAATGCCTGAGTTCGATGTATTGACTTCAAGGACTCTTGTCTCCTTTTTGTGATATGCCGTTCTACACGACACTACTTGCCTTGCACGACAAGTCACAGGTAATCCCTATGCAAAGATCGTAAGATTTGACTACGATCTTGGTCAAAATGGTTGAGAATGTATGCACCATTATCTCAGTTCGCCGAAAGTTCGTTACATCCTTTTCTCTCCCAAAAAAGAAACTATTGATAGGTGTTAGTTTTGTTTGCTAGATTGCTACCTGTCGATTATTTCATACTCACCAAATACCATTGGTCCTTAAACTTTGGATCATGAGGAACTTCGTATTTACGATTCCTAGCGAGAACATGTTGACGCTGCGCCCATAAGACCTGAAAATGATGAATTCTTGTTATTGGTTTTGTTTTGCACTCAACACCTCTAAACGATTAGCATGGGTACTTTATTTCAAGACAACAAATTCCTTTTCTTTAACATTTTTATTTTCATCAATGCTTTCTCGGTTTTTTTTTTTTTTTTTTTTTTTTTGACGTTCCTTTAGGAACACATTACTTTTGAATGCCAAATGAAGTTGCGGCCCTTGGTTATGTTAAAGACCGATGAACACGTCGTGTCATGTTGGATTCAGACATATTAATCTTTTTTGATAGAAACCATGCTAGCTATGGACACTGCCTGTAGTACACTTTRTTCGAGCATGTGAAATATGCAATTAGATAACTCAGTAATGTCGGTTGTCGACTCTTTCAGTGCTTACCCGGTCTTCTGCCAATAGTAATTTCGTTTTCTCGTGCATATGGATCTCTCTTTTCCCTCGATGGGCATCTTTGTCTACGTGCTTGAAATGATAATAACCTTGAAGAGTGCCAACCTTGAAAAAAAATCGATTTCAATTAAACCAGTCATGGAAAATTGATAACGTGAAGTGTTTTATGCCTTCGGAAACGACAGAATTTAACCATGAAAAATATCGTTTAATAGATACCTCATTAAAATTGTTTTGGCGAAACGTTAATATGTTTAGAGGACCTCCGTCTATGTGTGAAATAATTTATTGCTTGGTAAAGAAATATTACAGTCATTTTAAAATGAGTCAGAGAACTGTTCTGCCTTTTCAAAAATTGACAATATTCTTCTAAGACGTTTGGGATACGTTTGATGATTTCAGATATTCTGAAGAAAGGTTTCGAGCTCTTTTAACCCCTGTTAGCTCTAATATGAAGCTGTTCGGCACCAGTTCCTGAAAAATTTCCCCTAAATTGAGGAAATTGAAGTTTGCTATAAGATTTTAAGTAAATCGTGAAAATCCTGACATGGACTTAGCCACCGAGCACAGCAGGCACCTAGCAACTCTGAATTTTGTATTCCAAGTTTTCCTAAAGACAAAATAAATCCGTAACAAAAATGGCGTCGAGTAAGCAGAAGTATTATCTAAGATTACTGCAAACGTATTCTAAATTTATTTTATACAACTAAAGATCGGACAAGTTTATGAGAAGAGCATATAAGATCTAATAATACTATACGAAACAAGAGAATATTGCTTTCCTCTTCATGATTGCATGAGTGGTTTCACCTGTTGGGTTGTTAGAACCATACCTGACCAAGGTTTTTAAAACCATGTTTCTCCGCAAGTTTATCTGCTAATTCAAGTTCGGCTGAATCCAACTGGACAGCCCAAGAGTTCGTATAATATAAATTTCCATCTTCACTTTTGAGAGCGTCTTCAAATTTGTGTAGCTGTTCCCATTCTTTGCGAGTAAGCTTTGGCTTTTTCTGTCGACTTCTGTTCGCTCCATGTCTTGGACGAAAATATTTCTCTGTTCTACTTTCTATCGATGATATTTGGAATAAAAAATATATAAAGATGACTCCTTCAAGCCATAATCTAGGCTTCATACTTATTATTAGAAAATATAATGTTTTGGAATAGTTGTTTTATAAACTGATGGTGTTTAGCTCCGACATATCGCTTTTACCTACTTAAGTAATCTGATGTTCACAACCACAACTTGCAGGTCCGAACTTGACTTCAACTGTTTTCACTTAACGGTTCAATTCGCACGCTCGCTCTGACAGTTGAAGTATCATGGGAATATGTGTGGCATGAATATATAGAATAATTACATACGAACCCGTCCAAATCCCTAATATAATATTATTGTATACATACATTGCGTTAAACTTAAAAGAAACCAATGGATTACAAATAACTCATAAAATTAAGACCAGCATCTTGAAGGCGGTTACCATCCAGCAAGTGCAAKACGTAGCACCTCTTTATAGGTCTTCAGTAAATTTTCGATTCCAAGGCTTAAGTCTCTAAGCAAGTCCTCAGACGGTTTTAATTAATCTTTGTAATGGTCTATTATCAAAATCTCGCAGAGACAAACATTTGAATACGGCCACCATCTTGTTTCTCACTAGGCTTTGGTTTTGATTTTGTCTCTTTGTTTGTTTTTGTTTTGTTTTGTTTTGTTGTCTGTTTGGCATTGTCGTTGCTGTAGTTATGCTTTGTACAACTGCATTCAGTTTTTAGACGATGAAACCATCGGATATCCGGCCTGGTGTACTTCAGAAATTTACAATAAACCTTCGACAGCTTCGTGTTAAAAATCAAATCATTTATTTATACCGTGGAAAGTCAATGTCAAAGAGGACACTTAGTCTTCTGTCTCACGATAGAGTTCAAGGTTGAACAACATTTCGACTAGAGAATTGCTGGACTAGTCTTTACCAGGCCAGCTGAAGGTGAAGCACCAGCATCAGTTTGCAATCGGTGCGTCGACCAATGAGAGCCATCCACCATGCCATGAAACCGTAAAAAATGGCTAAAAACCAAAATCATTTAGATGCTTCGAAGAAATGAAAGCAAATCCTTCCTGAAAAAGGGAATTCCATGAAAGAATTTTTGTATCTTGTGCGCCCCAGAATTCCCACACAATCAAATATGGCCACAGTATTKGTAAAAATTTATGAATTTGACAAGACTTCAATCTGTCATAGCAAAGATGCTAATCAAGACATCACTCTATTTACCATCTAGATACTCTGTATCAAGTTTTGGTATGGTCATTATTGTGTAGCCCGAAGATGGAAAGCGGAATGAGGCGTTGTTTTTCTAGATATTTATTGCCAGTTTCTTTTAGGAGGAGCCGACGGGTTCCCTGGGAGAAATATATCTGTTCTTAAGTCCCAGCTAGCTGTAAGTCACAACTGGTTGCCAGCGAGAAATTCAGGAAAAAAGAATTCTCCAGGCAAGGAATATTTTCTAGGAATTTTTGCCAGGAAAATAAGGTTTCCTAAATAAAAAAGATATAAGCCGTTTTTGACCATAAAAACGTTATATAAGCAAAGTTTGAAGAATATGATTTATTATGAGCTGAGCTACAAGGCCAGAATGCATGGGAGCACACGTCGGGGTGAAATAGATGTTAGGCTGCGGTAATAGCATTAAAAAAAATCCCAGGGTCGTGGGTTCGAATCCCAGCGAGGTCGGAAATTAATTTTTCCGAATTATTCCTATGGGTCTTTCTCCAGGAATTGCCTCCTTCTAAGCACTACAACTTTCTTTCAATTTTATATGTGTCTATCATAGTGCCATGCGGTCCTTATATTCATATCTTTGTATGTCTATAGGTCTTAACAATCTTATCAAGACGGATGGAAACTGATGGCCTTAACCACTTTATTCGGGGGTAACTTTGTGTGGAGAGGGACTTTTACATCAAAATTCTCATCTTATGCCTCATTTCATTACTGGAAGAAGGAATTTAAACTTTGACGATAGAACACTTAGCCAAACAACAGATGTTTCATCTCTGTCAACATGAGTCGGATCCTCAATCTAACTACATCAAACGCCATGTAGCAAAATTTGTGCCTTTTGATAGCGTTCAGTGAACGCGATCTGTCGCTTGTTCAGAGTTATTTCATAGGAAGGTATTCCACAGGGAGCTATTTCATAGGGAGCTTCTTCATAGCGAGGTATTCCATAGGGAGCTATTCTTCATGGGGGTATTTCAGTCATAGGGAGTTTTGAAATAATGTTTAGTGTATTGGATCTCCATTGCTGTAGCATTGAAGATATTTTCAAATGCTTGCAAACAATGATATATTGCATTATTATTATGAAATGATGGGAAACTGTATTTCTGCGTAAAAGTTTTATTATAAACACAACATGGTCACAGACCGATCTGCCTRCATCTACAATACATGCTTGTGGATTACGGACATATATGGAATTTTTGCCAGTCTTTCTTACAATACAGTTTTCAGTTCGGTGTATATCAGAAAATCGATATGTTTCATAAAGAAATTATAAGGTCATATTTTGTTTACTTTTACATCCATCAAATTTTGGAGTGATGAATTATGGCATTGTCATATAACTAAGTAACTGGGTCTTAAATTCCTGTACTCCAAATCAAATCTTATTGTAATGATGTATTTTTTAGGAAACTTTTTGCAAGATATTCAAAAACATATTTGGGCACTTCAATCTTATAAACATTATGAGTTATTGTGAGTTTTAGACATTAATAGTAATATAATTAGATAATTATTTTTATAGCTTGAGTAAAAAAATGTTACATCTTTTAGAATCTAATTCATAATTATAGAGTAATAAACAGTACTAATAACCCGAAACCGCCTTATTGATTTGTTTTACAACTACACAATGAGAAAGAAAGCTTCTCGAAATGTACACTACAGCAAGTCATATATCATTTGATAAATTGTGTGATATTTTTAATTGTATGTATATCATATATATTAAAAAATCTCATTACTTGTGATATCATATTAATGAACAGAATTCTCTCATTCCCATATAATATGTATACTCAGTAGAGGATTTACCCTCTTGCAACCTTTGTCATTTTTCTGAGAATAAACTTGAATCAATGAAAAGTAGTCATGTTGGTAAGCACTTCTTCAAAGAAAAATAATTAATTTTACATTGAATTTTCTGAGTTATAGACATTGAAAATACAAYGCAACCTATTCCAGGAAATGGGTAAGACTTTCTTCATTGCATATTTTAGCTTTTTTTGTTGAAATACTTCAAAAAAAGCGAGCATGGCAATATTGATAAATCTATTACTATTTTTTACTTAAAAAAGCTGAATGTCCTCTTACGTGATTTCAAATGCTTTTAGATCAGGCGATAGAAATCCAGATTAATTTTTTTCTCATAGAAGTGCTTAGCAGCATGCTCCCCCGTTGCACTTTGTTTATAAGCCTCAGAAAGACAAGACAAAAAAGCCTAAAACCTTTCAAACTTCAACTAGCAGCGTCCAACACCACCAAACAAGGTGTTCAAAGGTCTGATGGTTCTGAATTATCCAACCTTCTTCTTTGATCTGGGCTTAGATTATTTGTATGATTCAATAGTATTATTAATAAGATGGAGGTAAGTGTTACTTCAATTGCCAAGCCTGTCTGATACATCTTATGGCCGAARCCCTTCTATAACGTTTCATCCTTCCACGACCACAACCCTCGCATTGATGGCGTGAAAGATATCAGGTTGTGTGGGTGCAAGGACTCGCAATTTAAAAATGAAATACTCGGTCATTTCGATCCAAAATTGTTTTATTCCAAATGGATTTGGGGGTTGTTGCAGAGGTAGATAATGGAAAACCGAACTTTAATTATATTTRTATATATTGATGTCAATATTCATCAAGTTTTGGTTGGTGAATATTGGCAGTCAAGTTGGTTGTTTCCAAGGAATAATGAAGATCTTCGATCATCATACATGTAGCTTGTTTGGTTAGAAAAGTATATTCATATTGTATGATCTTAACGAATATTGGAAGAAATGCGGTGCATTCACCAGTTTTTCCGACAATCTTTTTAACAGTTAACGACTCTGTTCGATCCCACTTATGTACACGTTCGCCCCATTGACGAAGAATCTCGACTGCACCAAAGACTCATATTGGTACTGATGGGGCTTAAATAACATCTTGCCAAGATTCAGAGGGTGTTTTTTCGGACATATAAAAATAAAAGAACTATAATTGTGAATCATAACTAATAAGTTAACTCTAAATTAATCCAATGTACCGTAAAAATTTAAAACCCACTTTAACATAATACCAGAGCAGCCTTGTGCTAAACACGGTATTTCCGGATTTTCGTACCCAGCATTCACCTGTACTCGCTGGGTACCAGTCTCCTGCTTGGCAACCTGAACTTTCTTCAGGTTTTTCCTTTTTAAGTTCTTTCGAGAAACGGTGCTCTTCTTTCTTGCACTTGCATTTCTTGATGTTTTAGATTTTCTATGCGGTTTTTGCAGCAAGTATACTCCGCCGTTGTCATTAGAAGCTTTAATTTTACTTCCATATAAAGGATTTGCGTTAATTCCTGTGTTACCATTATTAGTAGAATCATCAATTTTGTGATMTTTTGGCTTGGCAATGTGACTTCTATCTGTAATATATTCCGTAAAACTGGCMGAGTCACTTTCAGTAAGGTTTAATAGATCGTCCACAATGCTTTCCTCTGTTTCATCAGTAGCATCTTTGGGCTTTGGACGGTCAACATTTTCTCGGCGTACYCCAGGTGGATAGGGAAAGTCATATAGTGGATTCTTGAAAATAYAAAGCGAGAGTAAAACTTTAGTAAATTGGGCCATGTGTATCCGATATCAGGATTGAGTAACTTTGAAAACAGTTCTTTTTTAAATAAAACAAAACAATCGCAAAGAGATGACAATCATGGATGCGATAATTCAGTGATTTCGGAGTTTTTAAATAGTTTGAATAATTTCAATATATCACCAGATTTCATGCAAGAGATGATCATATAGCACCATCTAGCATTGGATCTTYAGACAGAGTTTTTGGTGGCCAAACGCATTCAACTACAATGCAACTTCAAAAGAGTTTGCGAAGTTGTGTGCGACGCGGCCCAATAACGCCGCCTAACGCTGCATGATCTAAAATCTCACATTTGGCAGGATCAAAGATGCATCCATTGCGCGGATCCGTGACTTTTTGCTCTTGAATTTATTAAGTGAACCCAAATGCTGCGTTTTCCATTAAAAAATTACTAGATTTAATGGTGCTATCTCACTAGTTATATATGACGTGATTCCAATGCAGATATGTCGCTCGATCTTGTTCAACACTCACTATCATCTCAGTGGTACTGAAATCTCACTATGAAGCGGGCCTGGGAATGTTTCGTTGCCTGGCATCATAAAAAGGTTAATCATATCTAAGTATTTTGTAAAATTCTTACATTTGTTTTGATACTCTGTATTTTTGCGGCTTGTTGTTTGGTTTGGTCATCAATGACCTGTTCTTCAAGGTCTTCCACGTCGGTATCCTGCTTACTGGTGTCCAGGTGGAGAGTACCAAATCCATTTACWACTCTATCCCCAATCTCATTCAAAGGATTGTCAATAATCTTTAGCCTCCAAATACCTCGAGGATTTTCACCTTGAAACAAAAAGCTAGCAATTATGACGTTTTCTGTTTTATTAAATATCATTATATCAATAACCTAATAAATTGTTAATCTAACTAGAAAGTAAATGAAGGTGGAGGAGACGGAGGGAACAGAATCGGAAGGGTGCATGCTTCATTAACAGGAATCATCTCTAAGAAAACTTAAGATCAGTTAAGTTGAATATGAAATAAAATTATACAGAGTACAATAATARATACACACTGCAAAATGAAAATTTTKCTACAGTTGTCATGGCAAGAGAAACAAAGTCCAACCCTGTCCCAGAAAATMTAATCACGTGATATTTATATCCCRTGCACAAATCTCCTACTTACCCCAGCAATGTACAGTCATGAAAGACCAGTTGTCAAGACCCTCCTTAGAGTCGTCATAGCGACGTGTTGATAGCATCTCATTCTTTGTCCCGGAYGGTGACGTCAACAAGATGCTGACATCACCACGTCGACGATGAATGAAGCTGACTGTAAGTGAAACGTGCTCAAGTCTTGTAATTTCAGCAACTGTTCCTTGGCAACCTTGGGTTGGGATATCGATGTTAAGAAATCCTCCTGCTGGAATTTCCCTAAAATTGAAAAAGATACATTTTTAGTGGAGACGCAAGTTGGTATGTTYTGTACAAAAACAAAAGTAAAACTGATCATACAAGGTGTAAGTGGGAACAAGGATACTGACATTGTTGTCTCCCTTCAATGAAAAGCCATGACTACTTTCACAAACATGGCGCATTGCTGAATATGCGAAGAAGGTGGAATTGTATAATAATCTTACCCTCTCCTGAGATCCGCACCTCTCCCTGAGGAAAATCCTGGATMCGCCCCTGACTAAACGCATATGCCTTAGACAAAACACGAATTATTCTCACCTTTCTTGCATTCCAGCAGCACCGGTACACTGTCTCTGTGGTTTTACATTTTGCCAAATCTTTGCCTTCTCCACTAATGCTTCAGCATCCAAACGTCCAAAGCCGAACTTGTGGTTGAAATGGAAACCTGCTCCATTTGTTCTCCAGCCATCATCAACAGGGCTTGTTAACTTTGAAGTATGGACAACAATATGTTGTACATCCCTCCATGTCAGATTGGGGCTGAAATGGTAAACCGTAAAATTATTGTCAAAGATTCTCCATTATTGTGTACCATTTCCAAGTGAAAAAAAAAAACAAGGCAGAAAGCTCAATAGGTAAATATGGGCTGCGACTCCATTTTGTGAGGCAAATCATGATGGTTGTTKTAGTACTTATTAGAGGCCCTAAAATATCTCCCTGGAAGTATTTGTTACATCTTCCTAGTAAAAAYGGTAGAACTACTTCTCTTTTTCTGCTAAGGAGGACTGTTTTAGCGGAGTRCTAAGACTACAACTAACRTCGAGCTTTGCCGCACAAAATGGCGTCGCTGCACATTGCCTATTTAGGAGTATGGTCTACTTACTTAACTTCTAGCATAAGGGCGATCATCCCAGCCGCCAGGGGCGCTGCAGACGACGTCCCTTTGAATTGTTCTGTACATTGGTTTTTAAGATCAGTCGTTATCTAAATACCAAGATTAAATTAGCATTTGATCGTTTTGGGTAAACGTATCAGTTACCAGACGAGGCCGAGCAAAGCGATAAAGTAAATGGAACGGGACAGGTATCGAATGTACACAAGTATTGTTGTAGCGAGTAAAAAAGGAAAACAATACACATTTTTAGCTTGGTATTTATACATGTAAATTCCTATTTCAGGCTATGTGACACCCCCAATGGAAGAGAGATTATTTTCGTTTGTCAAGCTGTTTGGATACTAACAAAAGATCAAAATGATTCCGCTCTCAAAAGAAGGATCCAATTGCAGGAATTGAACGAGAAGATATAGATGATTGAGGCTTAGTGTATTCATTGCAGRTAAGCTCCTAAACTGACACGCCGAGAGACACCTCGATTGGTTACCTACCATTTTATTCTCTTCTCTTTCTCTATGGGCACCTCCGTTGAATGTAACTGCTAGAGTCGAAGAACACAATTCGGTGTAATAAGCTGACAGACCATGATCTCCAATACATCCAATAGACACTGTATAGATACTCGTAGTATAGCCATCACAGTTACAATCGTCATCTGTAAGTCCACCATTTCCTGTCGCCCAGACATAGATATTACCCTTTCCACCTCGGCCCTATGAATATGGCAAAATAACAGCTTCTTATGAGTGGAAATAATTGATTGTGGAAAAACCTCCTCTTTTGACTAGCTTTTAGCTCTACTCGARCAATTTCTTGACGAAATTGTTAAGTATATTTAATAATGACTTTCTGATTATTGTATGGCTGCAAGCATSTCGATCGTGTTCAATACTCGCTATATGGTAGGTCGACTCTATATCTCTTAGCTATTACAATTAGAAGACTACTTCAATCTATATCGCAAGACAAACATTTCACCTATATCATTACCTCCTCTGCTCCCTTCTTCAGTGATTTAGCAGCCAAAGGACCTGGTTTACCGAACGTCTTCCCATCATCTTTTGGGCCCCAACAATTACTGTAAACATCTATAAGCTGATTTGCCCAGCCGAGGGAACTGGCTTCTAGTGCATCCGTTGCTTTGCCATCTAACATACGAACGCCTTTAAAATAATAAAAACATATTTCGTAGGTTCATAATGACAGAAAAGGTATAGGTGACATTACAGAGGCGCAAAGAAACCAGTCAAAGCCAAATATGATATAAGAGATGTAAGATATCGTCGAGAGAAAGCCGCGGTGATTTTTCTGRTCATGATCTCTTATTGTCTGAAAGGAGAAACATTTTGACAGGGAATGTGCTCCTAATGCATACTTTGTAAAAACCACGATGTAAATTTCGCTCTGCAAATTCTATGCATGTAAATTTTATTTCGGGAATTCTTGAGAAAATCAAAAAAAAAAAAAATTCAAGAGAAACTAATGAGGAATGCTTTGTGATTTTCATCCAACATGGCGGCGATGACGTAACTTGCACACCAAGAATATTTAGACAATATCTACATACTAGTAAAATTTACAGAGTTTTCCAGTAACATATTTTGTGAGTCTATGCTCCGTTTGACACCAAGAGATTAGCAAATAGATGAGAYGGTATCTTAATAAGAAACATGCCAATATTACTCGTTCAGTAGTTACCTCCTATTTTTGAATTGTATGCAACACCAACTCCACATATACTATTGTTGGCAACGGCTGCTATTTCTCCTGCACAGCGAGTTCCATGACTGAAAATTAAAGTAGATAGTTAGGCAATCATACAGATTGATTTAACGATGATGTTCCTTCATCCATCGAGCGGCATGAATGTTCTCTTACATAAACCAAATCCAAATCTGCCAGAAATCACTGGAAAAAATCGCGCGCTTTAAAGATTGTAAATTTGATGTAAATATGATGTAAGTCTCCAAAATTCTGTAAATTTGATGATGAAAATGATTTCCATTAAATTTACAGAATTTTGGACACTTACATCATATTTACATCAAATTTACAAACTAGTTTAAAGCGCACGATTTTTTCCAGTGATGCTGCAAAATTATGCGAACAACTGTTCTAGTTGGACTTCGTCTGATCACATACTGAAGAAAAGCCCTATAATGCTATAAAGCCCTATAAAGCTTTAAGAAAAATGCATATAGCAAGTWTTCATACCAATTGTCAGGATCGATGTCGCGAGGCGCTGGATCGTCGTCATTGTCATTGAAATCATGACTAGCCTGCTTTAACTGCCAAAGAAAATAAACAAAAGRKAAWTGTAAAAGGAATAACTGTTRCTAGGGAAWTTGGGTGGGTCCAATGATATGTATCGRYCCTTAAATAGTTTCTGAGCATGYCCTGYTTGATGAWAYGTATACTTACATAATTTGGTTTTAAATCTGGATGTCTCCAGTCCATACCTATATCAAACAAACGGAATTTTAAAAAGGTTATCACGCTGTATTACATGTTATAAATAAAGCTTTTTCTCCGCTTCTACTCGTTATGCAATACAATGCAATAGAAAATTTACAGATGATATATTACAACACTACGACTGCACATGCCAGCCTTCTTTACTGTTCCATATACGCTATGGAATCCAGATGATTGGTGAACATGCGATGACAGACATCGTGAATATCAATGTATGGGAGTGACCAAAGGTTTGTATCATGGTACGCTCGCGGATCATCTTCACTTCGATGTGCCGTGCCGTGCCGTGCCGTGCCGTGCCGCGCCGTGCCGTGCCGTGCCGTGCCGTGCCGTGCCGTGCCGTGCCGTGTCCGTGTTGTGCCGTGTCCGTGTTGTGATCCGTGCTTTTGCACAGTCATACGAAATCCACTCTATCGTTCTTAAATAACAATGACACTTTTTGTCTTTTGTTTTATTCTTTTGTTTTGAACAAGCCTATTATTGGATTACATCTTCCGAGAGGTGAAGGCCACCCCGATGCAGAGACACATTTACATTTCAAAATGTTGGAAGGAAATGGAAATGATGACTATTTGGCATTTTTCTTTTGTCTTGCTTGCAGTTGGTAAAATCTACTTTGCAATTATCAAGGAGAGCATCAATTCAAAAGACTACTTTTATTGCCATTATAATCATTATCAACACAATAACCTTTACTACCATTATCTAAACATACATACCGTCGTCAAGAACGGATAACACTACTCCTTTTCCCGTTATTCCTTGTCTCCATACTGGAGTAACATTGATATCTACGCCAACTGGACCTTTGGTTTGACCTGTATTCATCTGCACAAGAAATAAGATGGAACCATTACATTCAGTTACTTGTTATATGCTATGCAGGCAATAACATCCAGAGTTCGACGAAACCGTGCATCAWGTAAGYCAAAACATTGTTCKCTATGTGCATGTCTACTTCAGGAGTCCTGAAGTAACCCTGCTGACAAAGACACATGAACATATAGATTCTCTCCTCAAGCAAATATAATATTATTATAAGGAAAAGTTAAAGTCCTCACCAAATACCACATTTCAGAGAATTTAGGATCYGTAGGTAATCCATCTCGTTTTGTTCTGTGTAATATCTTCTGTTGCTCTGCCCATCGAACCTGAAAAAATTCATCATTGTTATTTAAATATCAGCACGCACTAATTAGCACGTACCACAGGAAATCCATAAATTTATGCTCACGCTAATAGCCGCACGTATTTTTTCGTGTCCACTTGTCAGTTAAATGAAAATTAGACATTGATAACAAAAAGACAGATAAGAAAGAAGTTGTCAGATTGAATGGCTAGACGGCTTATGGTGGTGATAAGCGTGGAGATAAGCAGATCACGAAAGACGTTGTGTAAAAAGATAAATTTAACACCGTAAAAAAGTATGTGAAATAACTGACGTTTCGGACGTTAATCCTTCGTCGGAGTAAAGAGATGAGAATAAGCCACGGAAGATGTCAGGGGAACGCCAAACATAGATGTATGCCTCTTTTAAGTTCTTAAAAAAACCGGTTCACAGGTTTACACTTGCGATTTTTGCAGCCTAATTCTCGTGCGATAATGGCTACTTTGCTATCGCACAACTCAGCAAATCGTAAGTGCAAACAGCTAATCGCCGCGAAACTCAGGCGATGGTCGCGCGACAATCGCGCTGCAAAAACGCCTCTCAACAAGGACCGACATCCTTAACGTATTGGAATCCTCCTTTAAAAAACGATCTTCAACARTATTACGCCGTACCCACTCTTCTGAGTACGAGAGACTGTACTAACGCCTCGTTTATTCTTATACTATGAAAATACCAACCTTATCTTCTAGCAATAGTCGATCTGTCCTGTCACGATCATGATCTTTATTAAATTCATCTACGTCATCATGACGTAAGTGGTAATGTCCATGTAAATTACCAATCTGAAACAGCAATCAACATGCAAAATATTATTTTTTGCTCAATTTAATTCAAAATGTGTCTGTGTTTTGCCTTTGTGTGCTAGATCGACTGTTGGGGAGCTGTTTAAGCAAGTTTACTGCGTGATAGCGTCCGAGACGGGTTTCCCTAAGAGGGGTGGTGAGGACCCTGTACCCTTTTAAAAGGGAGTCCCCTCGATCAAAATATTTGATCCCTGATCCCAAATATMCGTGTTCACGAGATCCCAGGTATCCCAAGCTGACCCCTACAGATTCCGTTTGATCTTTTAGTAAACCTAATCCAAGTATGGACCCAATCCTAACGATCAAACCATGAAGCACCCCTACTCTTTCAAGACTAATAGGTATATTTTTCCAAGTTTCTATGTGTTACGTACGTGCACTTTTCTCAAATAGCACCAAAGTCTTTTTTTTGTTTTGTCAATTTGACAGGGATTAGATTGTCCTTGAACTTTTCCTGTCACATTCACAATTTCAACCCGAAATTAGTCATATTTCGATAACAAGCTAGGATGTTATTTTTTCTAACCACTAAGACCAAAGACAGCTTTACATCCGAGCGTAACTGATGAAAAAGCGAGTTTAGATAGAGCACGGCACAATCAACAAACTCGATTCTCAAATGATCCATGCTGATCGTGTCGACCGGATTGAAACATGGGCACAGAGGCGAGGAAAATGAATAATAAAAGTGCTCTGCTTCTCCTCGTGCGCGAGCTTTTAATCTTTATTGAATGACAGTTGAGTCAATGAATCAGGTTTAGTTCAAGTTACAGTATTTTATAGAACATTGGCTTGGAAAGACAAGTCAATTATTACGTGAATTGGACARGTCATCTCAAATTGATCTTGAAGTTTGTCCATTCACATTAAAATCCATTGTCTTTTATAAAGATAATTTCCTCTAGTCCAACATTTAAACTATATACGCAKGTAAAAGCGTCCTGAATCTTTATTATTTAAGTCAATGGAATAATTATAATCATCCCACTTAAAAGCAACTTCAAGGATAAAAGGGATTCCGCGTTGTGTAGGAACTTTCAAATTGTCAGATCACATACATTTTTTTAAAATTTTTCTCTCGAGCACTTTTCATGTTGAGCCAATTTAAATCTAGTCTAATTCTTAAAAAAATATAATTATACAATCTATGTTTGTTTATGTGGTATGACTTCTAGTCTTTTCTATGCATGACTGAAGGCGCTACAAGTGGATACAATTAATGATATCTTTTGTAGAGACTTCGAGGATGAAATGAAGAGATTTCATCACTTGTTTCAACCTCTTGTCATCAATAACATACAAAATACGCGTTTTCTCTTTATTACATATATTTATTACTGCTATAGTCTATTTCCAAACACGACCAGTTCTGATCTCTAGTGTAGGTAATTATTTATGATTTTGAATGAAGAAATATTAGACTAATTGTGAAATACACTGCGTTTTGGACAACACAAATGTAGAATGGATTACCTACCTTGCCAATGATCGCAAACCCGTGCCTTTTTGCTATGTCAAGAACATGCTCCTCTCCGGGATCATCTATCTCAACTGCCCATGTATTTGTAAAATACCCTTCTTTCTTGGCCAGCGTTTTCTTCATTTCTCGCGATACATTGCTATATTTACCAAATTSTTCACTAAAAACTAATAAAACATACTGACAGAATAAAAAAGCCACTAGTAAATGGCTATATTTTATAAATATAAGACTATTTGCCATATTTTTTGGATTGAAGTACTACGGGTCTTGGTGAAAAAGGAAAAAAGAGAGATTGCATGACGTAAGTGGTGAGTTATCCAATTGGTTTTCCCATGGGCAGGTCTATTACGGGTACGCCGAGTCAAGATTTCTACAGGTGGCGGTTTGATATTGGTCAGCCTGTGCGTTTTTCTGACACAGGGTACCCGCATAAGTATATAATTACATTTTAATACTCCAATTTCGAGTTCTGGTTTGATCTGTGTTAGCCTCAAAACCAAGCAACATATTCTTTTGTGTCATTGATAGGTCGACAAAACGCATGGAATATGTGAAGAATGACCATGAAATTGATTTGAAGTCTCACACTTTTACGCTCACATTTAGGAAATTTTGCCTGCAAATGGGGTTAATAAAGAGACACGATAAGCTAAAATGCTCAAACGGTATAGTAATGCGTCATAAAATTCATTTCTAAAATCTTATTTTTAAAGAGATGCTAAATTAGTTGTGAGAAATTTAAAATTAAATGGATATTTGCTATTTTATTTATTTCCAGTTACACCACAGGCATCCCGTCAACATTCCGCTGAGATATTCCTAAGTGGACGCGGGCTCAAATTTTCATCTTACGTCGCCACTGTTCATCGCTTTCAAAAACGTACAGTAATATTTTTGTGACTTTTTTTGGACATTTTTACTATTTTGAAGCAGAGATATCAAAATGTTTAGCTGGCTTGGCTATGGGCAAGGTACAGAGAAGCAACAAAACGAAGATAAGAGCGAAAAGTTGCCAGAAAACGAAAACCAAATGAGCTCAGATGCTGTGGAAAATAAGAACAGTGATGATGATAATGCAACACAAGAAAAAGAAAGCTCAAATGCTACTCAAAGTGAACTTGATTATGCCAAAGATATGGCCAAGAATGTTGGAAGTAAGTAGAAAAATGAAGGAAACATAATTCATTTCTTAAACCGACACTTCAGATGTCCATAGAATTTATTTTGTTTACAACAATATGTAAATTATAAGCCAATTTTATTATAACTAACAGTACAATTAAATAAGAACTTTAATCCAGGATTTTATTTTAAAACTGAAGCTTATTACCAAAAATAAATTATATAATTTTATGAGTAGTTTTATGAGTGGTGTACATCAAAGTTATCTGTTTTCCATTRAGAAAACAGTAAGCTTAGATTACAGTATATTAACTTAATATTCTTTTAACGAAATGCTCTGCTATAAGCAAAGTTGTAGATAGAGAGCATTCAAGAAGTCCCTCTAAGCTCTTTGCACTGCCTTTCGCTCCTGCTTTAAGACAAACAATTACGTTGGATTATGTATCTTGATTGTTTGTCACTTTTAGGTTTCTTATTCAGCATGGCGAGTGCTGCATCATCAACTGCACTCAAAGTGAAAGACACCATGGAGCACAAAGTATGGGTCCTAGTATTTATTACATGTTGTAATTTACTTAATAACTTAATATTTAAATAGATGTAAGGCATTTGAGAATAGTGTTCAGCAGAATTGTTACTGCAGAAAAGAGAATGGAGAAAATAAAAAGACAGAAAGGGAAACAAACAGTGAAAAAAAATGTGTTAAAACTACTTCCATGTAGATTTCCCTGTTTGCAAAGTCTTGTTATCAGTTGATCCTCAAAAGGAAAGAATGAGTTTTCTACATTGTACATCATTTACGTAGTCATCAGGATCTCAGAAAATTGTATGGTTATTGATCACCTAACTGCTAAACTTGATTCTCAAAGGCCAAATGAACTGTGAAAATGTTTGGAGTTTGTTCTGAGTAATAAAGAAATCTTAATAGCACTTAAATGTTAATTGCTGAAAATTAAAAAAAACGTTTGTACTTTGAGTTGCACCAAATCCCAATGAAGAATTAATATTATTTTTAATTCCATAAGTCTATTCTTGGCGAATTCACCAAAGAACAAGAGAAATTTATCAAAGAAAAGCACAAGAGAAAAGGTACATTTCATTTAATTTTATTTCCAAAATCGACATWATAGCAATCAATTACAGTGTATTTCATGACTYTATTTTTTTATTTTAGAGGCTGCAGTTGCCCCTTGGGTGGGATATAACGAAGAGGAGTCAATGAAGTCCCAGATCTTGGCTTTATCAACAGTATGTAGTATCTTTCATCTTACAGAAAATTTCCTTGATCAACGAATAAATTATTATTCAATTAAATTCTAAAAAGACATGTAGAGACAGGGCTGTGAACTCTTCCTGGATAATCTGCAAGTCTCAAAATTTGTCGTCCTATCTTCCAGTATCAAAATTTCAATATAAAATCCCTTGTTTTTTTATCTGCAGGATGAGCGCAACTTTCTACGGGACCCTCCCTCAGGAGTTCAATTTTACTATGAACATGATAACATGTTCCCTGTTGCCTTGGCAACTCTTGAAGAAGATGAGAATCTGCAGAATATGAGATTCAACCTTGTTCCAAAAAAGTATGAGTTCATGTCTACATGTACAGTAGCACTCTTAGGAGTATCACACAATGCCTAGTCTGACCTTTTCTGAAAAACAATTAGTCATGATATATTGTGGTCAAACCTCAGTGTAAACAATTTTTGAAAAAGATTTTAATTGTATTTGAATCTAACCTATTCTAACCCTTCTAACCCAGAACTTTAAGAGAATAAAATTTTTTTTATTGAAACTTTTAAATATTTTATATTTTTTATTTTAGACTTTTAATTTATTTTTTATATTTTTTTATTTAAACTTTCAGATATTATCTTTAGTTTTGATATTTATCATCTTTGAGTATTTTCTTTTGTCAGAATTATGAATTTAACAATAATATGCTAATTAGTGACGGCTATTACATGTACGTTTCATATCATTTTCGCGTGTTAGTCATCCTTCTTTCATGTCACTGAATGTATGTTAATGTATATGTTA